CCTTGGTTCATGTCAGACTGCCTTCAGAGAGCTTTCTCGCCCCCAAAAAACCCCAACCCCCATAACACACATGCACGCACATCACACACAATTCTCCCATAAAGTCAAATCTATTACTTTTACGCCAACTTCCACAACTAAATCTGTGTGTACAAACATGTTACCATGTTACACATTTTGGAAACAACATTTCCTCATCATTTCCTCCTTGTAAGTGAAGACAAAACATCTCGTAAACCTCTTGTTAACAAGAGAATTTCAGGGAAAAGTGTGGGAGAAACAAAATCCGACTGCTTGTCATTCCCTGTGGCAAGTCTCAGAAAATCTCTGATTAGCTGCAGTGAAATATATCAGGGGAGAAGAAAGAGAGAATGATAGAGAGACGATGGGATTACACAGTTTGTTAGAAGCCGTGCGCCTCCTACACACAGACACAGATTGGAGGGAACCTCAAACCCTAGTATGGATCCATCTGAGTGCATGGCCACAGGCTCCGCGTGTGCATCAGTGTGTTTATGTGTGAGGCAGTGTGTTTGTGCAGGTCTCTGGTGTACGTGTGTGCTTTCTGCTTTTTCCTAAAGGCACAGGGCTGTAGGGAGGGAGGAAGGGATGGAGGGACACCTGTCTCTGTCTGTCTGTGGGGAGGAGTTGGCAGGGTGAAAGCAGTGTCATGTTCTCTCTCTCTCTCTCACTCGCTCTACCTTCACACTGTGTCGGCTAAATTTGAATTCTGTTTCTTTTTATTTTGGCGCTTAGTTCGCAGTAAAGACAGCCTTCACAGTGCATGAATCTTAAAAAAAAACAAAAAAAAAACGACAGCCCCACAATTTATTGGAAGGTAATGAAAACTGAGCTTTGGAAAATGATTATGTGCGGCTGCTCAGGCACTCTCAGGGGGCTATGTTACTGTAAAAGTGAAGCTGTTTCTTTCTGTTGGCTGTAACCCAACCCTACGATCACCCTTTTTTAATGTTAACACAGCCAATCCAGGTCCTTCTGAGTTCAAACATGCAATGTGCAGTAGACAGGTAAGGACTGAAGCAGTGGCCCTCCATGTCAGATCATGACCTGTGAGGCTCACTTCAAGGGGAGCACTGTCCTTTGAGTAATTTATTTGATTGGCCACTCAGGTCAGTATCAAGGCCGGGAATCCACATGAAGTGGTGGTTGTGGACGATCGATTGGTCAAACTCATACTAGTCTCTAAACCCAGGAGACGGGGGGTTTGGATTCTTATGTGAATCAGAGTCATGGTTGACTCCCTTGGGAAGATTATTGTTTTTAAAGTAAGTTACATATGTCCTTAATTTATCGAAACCAAATCCAGTTGCTTTGGTGCCTGAACTACAACCAAATTGTGACATTTTGTTATTTATTACATTTGCAAGCTCATAAGTCTCAAAATGAGAAATGTAACCCAGAAAGCTTTATTTCAAAGGTCCAACCGGACGTTGCTTATTTCCTTTGAATGACCCCTTTATATTGAAAGTTTAACTACAGTGAGTTAGTGTATAATATCATCCATCTTCTCCATCAGTTTCTTAATAAAAAAAGATAGTTTTGAAATCAAATATTCATAAGATTCTCATACCCTTCCTGTACCCCATCTCTGCCTCCTCCGTCTCACCCACACGTTGGCCCTTGGCCACTGGTTATGTGGCTTACAGCACATTTGAGCAGGCTGAGGGAGGAAAAGAGGACATGGAGAGGAGAGGAAGTAGACAAAGAAAAAGCTTTGCAAAATAAAAGGTTGAAAATGTATAAGGGGAAAAGATGAGCCAGGAAAAGAAAGGAAAACAGATCTTGTCCGGATATGAGTTGCCGTTTAATAAAGTTGTCAGTATGAAAAGGAGGAGGAGGAGGAAACTGTCGCAGGGATGAGGCGCTCTCTGAGGAAAATATGACAGAAACTGTGACACCGACACACGCATCCACACACACACACACACACACACACACAACACAAGCACACATGCACAGAAACACACACATGTTCATGCTGCTGGGACAGCTTGAGTCATAACTGTGATGCAAGTTCCACGTACAGCAGACACAAAGCAAGATGGGAGAGTGGGAGGTGTATGACCCTCATTTTGTCAGGGGCTTGCTCACCTGTCAGATAAAAAAAATCACAAAACACACACAGACAGACTTGAACCATTACTGTAAGAACACACTCCTTTATGTGTCAATTCAAATAACACACAGCGTCCATGCACAATAAAGTTCTCACCTGTTTACATGGCAGATTTGAGGTAAGCTGTGAGGATTGAATTAGCTCCTATTGTTTGCGGTTTCTTCATGCCTTCCTGGTACAGCACAGAAGGTAACAAGACAAATATACATACACAGCTAACACACACACAAACATGAGATAAATCACTTTAAAAGCTGAAGTTACACAGGATAAAAATACAAAAAAAAAACTTGCCAAGTAATGTGTAAAACCAGTTTTTGAAGTAGTTAGATTGTGTTTGTTTTGCTGCTATATGTGTTCGTTTGTAAGTTACTATAATCACTGTTAGTCACACAGCCACATTAAGATAACTCGCCTTCCAACCAATGGCAAAGAAATCACTGTAAGTCAAAAACATCAACATTGCATTTAAGAATTGTTGCTTGGTTTACGAGTTGCAAAGACAATAAATGGCTGTCCTTTTTATATTTCCAAAGTGACAGCCCCATTGTTTGTGTGTGAGTGTGTGTGTGTGTGTGTGTGTGTGTGTGTGTGTGTGTGTGTGTGTGTGTGTGTGTGTGTGTGTGTGTGTGTGTGTGTGTGTGTGTGTGTGTGTGTGTGTGTGTGTGTGTGTGCGTGTGTGTGTGTGTGTGTGTGTGTGTGTGTGTGTTGGCTTCAGTTGCCAGGAATGATAGTCAAAGGCACTTTGCATACAAGCTAACAAATAGTGTAAAGATTAACACCCCCTTTATATTCATGTATCTTTTATGTGTCTGGATAGAAGCAACAAAACACCATGTGTGGTTCTTTTCTCGTCCCATACGTGAAGCCTGACTTCCTCAGTTTCGGCACTTTGTTACTTGCTTATTGCAATTCAAAAATAAGAATGATATTTTTACCAGAAGCATATTTTTCAGAGACGTTTTAAACAGAGCTTTGGGTTTGTTTGAGGCTAAAGCATCGTCCGAAGAGAATTGTAGAAAGTTCAATATTGGAGCACTTAACAGCACGGTGATCGATATTAAGCAACAAGATGTGACCTGAGAACAGCCGTAGTTATTTTTTGATTGAGGAAAAGTCTTTCATTGAATTTTAATTGACTTGAACTCAAGATCAAACTTAATGTCTTCTTTTATGGCAAGGAATGTCTTAGCAGGAAGCTATTTGAGAGGCAGGCAGGTGTGTCTTTGGTATCCAGACGCAGAGGCAACAGTCCTGCTGGGGGTCCGGAGACAGGGCTTCACATTTGTGGTCACAAAACATGAAAGAAATTGGGAATGGGAATAGATTTGACGTCAGAATCTTCCTTGTAAGGATAGATGAGGTCCCAGGAAGCATTTTTTTTTGCTGGGGTGTCATGTTAAAGCACAAGTAGGGATGAAATTAGATTTCATTCTGCATTTTTCATGCTTTTTTTGTTAGTATTGAAAATCTTTGAAGTCAAAGGAGCATTTGATGTGACATGACATGGGAAACTGCTTCTCCCTTTAAGTTGTGTTAAGTCTTAATGTTAAGTGGAGTCCTGTTTTATTGTATTCTTTTTTTAAGTACCTACACGATCAGTTGTCTTACACACATCCATAATCAGCGAAATGTGTGAGATATTTCTAAGGAAGAAAAAGTGCTGAAGCAAACCTTCTGCACTGTAAAAACAGGTAAAATGGAAATTTCCCTGAAAAGACCAAAGGCCCTCGGGCTCAGTTACAAACATTATTGAATTAGACCTGGGCATAGATGTAAACTAGAGTCATTTGTTACGCATTAATCCTTTCCTAGCTTCAAAGGCTGGAGGGTTCATGTGTAGTTCAAAAGACTTTACCATTACATACGTTCTCACACTCTGACTCTGACCCTCTATAACATAAAGCAGAACACCTGTGGGCACTTTTCTTTCTGTCTTATATCGATTTTCTTCCCCCATACAAAGCTCATTTGGCTATAATTTCTTTGGAAAGCATTGCACTGCGTTGCTTTGAAAAATAATTCCTTGTAATTTGCTTTGAAAGTAACAAGCAGGAAATGAGGTGAATTAGTTGTGTGCGATTGGGAATCAGTCTCCTTTTGAGTTTCAGTAATGCAGTGCACATGTGACACCACTGTTTCCTTGTAAGAGCTGAAGGAGAGTACGTCATCTTACATTCACACTTTCCCTTTGTCTCTGTTATAATGTAGTTATTATCCATATAATGGTGTTCTGCAGACCGTGAAGCTCACAGCAGTTGGAGTATATAATCACTCCATTACAGTGCAGTTGTAGAGTTTTTGAAAAGGCTTCTCTTTTCTGCCTCACGCAGGTGTTTCTTTTTCTCCTCCACCATCTGCGAGCTGCCAATGCTGCATTCATTCCACTTGTGATGACACCCATGCTTCTGCTCGTAGTTACTTTGCTTTCTGACATCCCTTCAGAAAATGATAAATGCTTACAATTAGCTCATTGCTTCTGTTTTGAAGCCAAATCCAGTGTGATGCACACCAGATCAAAAACACTGAGAAAAGGACAAAAGGCTAACAGTATTAATAGTAATGAAAGTCAAAGCAGAAGGAAGGATTTTGCAATTTTCCTCTTCCTCAAATTCAAGTCTCCTCTCCGTTCTTCCACAAAACACGTCTTAAGTGCCTGACTTAAAAGACTGTACATCAAGCACGGAGAGTTGACGATAATTAGACATGTAGATGTTGCATTTCTCTGAAAATGATGATTGTATTCACTCTGAGATTCCAAATGCCACAAACTGCAGAATGGTCGTTAAGTGGTGCGCAATCAAGACAAATGGCAAGACATTATGCAGAAGAACAGGTCATTCAGTTTGTTTGTCTTCTGCAGGTATGACTACGTAGAGATCCATGATGGGAACTCAGAGACGGCTGACATCCTGGGAAAGCACTGCAGCAACATCGCCCCAGCACCCATCATTTCATCAGGACCCTCCCTGCACATCAAGTTCGTATCGGACTACGCCCACCAGGGGGCCGGCTTCTCACTACGCTATGAGATCTTCAAAACAGGTAAATCGATGCAACAGATGGGTTTTTTTTTTTTTTAAATGCTTTTCTTTCTTTCTTTTGCTTCAGAAAAAAAACATTTATTTTCACATAAAAGGAGTGATAATTGCAGGGTGGGTGAGTTTGTCATATCCCAAAGTTTCTGAAATAAAACAAACTATACTATATTTAGATGAGTCAATCATGAAAGAGGCTGACATTAATACTGATGCCTCAATATGACCTTCAAAAGTAAATCAGACTATCAGATGGAAGATTGATCATTACAACTGTATATAGTTACATTATATGACTCTCACCCATGCTGCAGGGTTGGTTTCAGAGGAGGCATTTAACAGCACTCAAGACAGCCTTTTCTGAAATTGTTGGTTGCATGTTAGACATCTTAAATAAAGGAGGATGAGATTTTTGGGCAGGAAACACTACTTACACATAAACAGGACAAGATCAGCAAAGAGATAGATCATCTTGCTTTGTCCACCGGGGGTGCCAGATCTGACACAACATGAAAAGTTCCTCACAGGAGCTTTAATGAGTATTGGAAACAAGCACACAAGATACTTATCAGTAGTACATAAATCAGCGCTTTTCTCTTTAATTTATGGTATTTACGCCTCTTCATTTCAAACAGCAGGCAGAAAGTAGAGAGTTGAAGGAAAAGGGAGGAAGAAATTGGATGAGACTATATGTAATCAATTCTTAGGGTTGCATGTAGTTTAATGGTCGGTGCCTGAAGCCCTGCAGACTCCATGATATCCTAATATGTCACATTGTTCGATGAACTGGAAGTGATTTCTTATTTAAGTTATACACTTCCCAGAACCTGCATTTGAAAATCAAAGACTGAGAAGAAGGACATGACCCCAGTCAATGACCCTCATGCATGGACAGATTTAATAAAAGTGAACAAGATATTTGAGAGATGGCACCTTTATAAATGGGCTATTAGGAGCTTTATTGCAAGCTCCTCATAGAGGACTCAACACGCTTCATTAGGTGATCAAGCCTGGTTCAGCTCCCTGCTGTCATGGGACACTCTGAGTTAGAGACATGAGACACAGCAGAGGACCCTTGAGAGCCCTTCAGACAGTCCAGGCGAGACATCGTTGGCCTTCATGGCACTTTGTGTGTGTGTGTGTGCCTGACATGGCTCCCCTTCACGCTGCCATGGGTCAGCCAAAGCGAGACCAATTGAGATCAAGGGCGAGTGAGACAGAGGGGTGCATAGTGTCGGCCCCACAGCCATCTTGTCCCGTTCCCCCTGAAAGCATTCCACACATGCCTGCTTAATTGAGTCCTGAGCCCTGTTCCCCCGAGACACACGCACACATTTACACGCACACACGTACAACACATACACACAGAGGGCTGGGGTTACTAACACAACACGTGGGCTGTTTCTCGCTCACTGACACCGGCCTGTTGGGACTTCTTCTGTGCTCTTGACACAGTCCACCTGATGGACTTAAAAACAACAAGGGTGTCAGTGTTCACACCCAAGCACCCAAGGGAGATTAGGCCAGACAAACAGAAAGAATGAGAGAGAGAGAGAGAGATTTGTTATTCAATAAACTGATTTTAGATGTATGAAAAACAAAAACCTACCAAACGTAACACATTTTTCACAGCATGTTTCATGTTTTGTGTTTGTTTTCATTGTGATCTCTCCTCAATGTTTATGAATTGAGCAGTAGGGAGAAATCCTTTTTTTTACATGGTAAATGCAGAGCTCTGTCTGTATTTATTTGATTAAAGTTAATGTGAATGTTTGTAACACATTGTTTCACAATTTTTTTTCTCCAGATTTTGAGTTAAATAATAATGGCGTTAAAAAATTTTTTGTAAATCAAAGCGTTATCACATAATGAGCATTCGTTTGTTTAACTGAGATCAAAACATGAACAAAGCTATTGTTGCCTTGATAACAATTTGAAATGATCACATTCTTATTCTAATGAAATCATTGACATTATGTCTTCAGTGGCAGGAGGGCATCATTGTCTTCCAAAATTGTAAAAAAAATCAATTTAAATATGTGACAATGCTATGTATACAATATATATATATATATATATATATATATATGAATTATTATAGTGATCGTAGTTAAAAGAAACCAATGGCAACATGCCAAAACTAGAAACAAAGTAGAAGTCTCATATTTTGAGTCTGATGTTTGGATGACTGATACAATCTAGTGCTCTTTTTATTTAAATCTGAACAAACGTAACAACAGAGGGGTGTATTTTTTTTTGTGGTTGGATAGTTTTTATTTAAAAGGAATCTTGCCTAGTTCAGTATCTATGAACACACTTTGAGGACAGTTGTTTTGATTGATGAAACCATTTAATGGCATACAGGACTTCCTTCGGTTTCTCACTGTTGTGCGCTTGTATTAGTGTGTATAAGTGTGTATTTGGGTTCAGCCTTCCCTGGCAGTAATGATGGCGCCATTCGGAAGATTCAAGCTGTTGCCATACTGCTAACAAGATCTTGTTATCCTGGAAGGTGCAACCGAATGTCTGGTTGTGTGGGTGACTAAAATTTGTCTGCATGTGTCAGTGTGTATTTATTTGTGTTCTAAACATACTGTATATCCTGAGGGCGAACTGTCTAAATATGTATCTGTCTGTGCTACTGCATAAAGTTCTCACAAGAAAGGCAAAAAGGATCTTCTTTCCTCTCCCTTCCTCCCTTTTGTGTAGTCTATATCCTTCACCGTCTAACAAAAAAAACTCACTACTTAATGAAGACAAAACAAGAACAGAGGTACAGTAGAGAAGAGGTTTCAAGCACAGCAATACTTTGAGATGTCATTTTTATGCTATCATTGCAGCTCTTTGTTGTTTCATCTTCTTGAAAGATTGATTAAATCATGGTTTGTTTACAGTTTATATACTATTTGTATTAAAACAGACAACACTTTAACCCGTTATTGAACCGATTGTGTTTCTATACTGTGTTGCTAGGGAAAACAACTGCTTTGCCTCTTGATTCCTTCATCCCCTTGACTGAATATTTATGGGGGTGGGTGGGAATGGGGGTCGACTCTACTCCACAATCTCTTCCTGTGGCTGGGGTCTGCTGTGTTCTGTAGTAATGAGGTGGTTTGTGTGTGTGTGTGTGTTGTTGGAGAGAGGAGATTGTCCCCCCCCCCACTCTCTGGGTGTCCTAATTATCCCTCAAACTGACCCGTCAAAGATTAACAGTGTAATCAGTCTGGATATGACACACAGACACGTATACTGAAACGCATACAGTATCTGCCAAGGAAAAATTGCACCTGAAAGACAAAATCATCTGTGTGATTTTTTTCTATTTGCAGACACATTTGCAGAACATACAGTACACATATGTCCCTATCAAATGTAACACATACTGTATCTTGCATTCCAAATAAGTTAAAATGCACTTAAGGGTTTATGCATGCATGCAAATAACAAACTTCCAAATTAAGGCCTTGGATAAAGACAAAAACGTATAAAAACACAGCAAACTAAATCAAAACAAAACAACATGCCACACTTGTTTTTGTTTACAGCTCTGTTGCTGTGGATACTGTAGTAAAATTCCAGCCAATATGAACACAGCAGCCAGAATGGGGAGAACCAATCACAATTCACTGTCTAGGCACTGTGCCCCCAGCTGTTATTGTGACCCAGAACTCACTAGACACACACACACACACACACACATACACACACACACACACAAAGACATGTATGAATACACTAATGCTGCCAGGACCGTTACTCACCAATGCAGGGCAGCTTGTATGTCTGCACGCAAAGTGTAACACTTAGAAAACACACACACACACACACACACACACACACACACACACACACACACACACACAGAACAAACCCTAACGTTACCTAAAACCCAAATCTCATCCCTAAGATTCATACAGTTTACCTTGCGGGGACCAGCTTTTGACCTAAATGAGAAGTGAGCCCCCATGGTGCCACTGTGTGAACAGATTTTTGTGAGACAAACATACACCTACACATGCACAGACTCCTCGGGCAGTGTAATGTGGAAGCTATCGTGACAATCCTTCCAATAACCGCTGTTGTTTACATTCTACCAAATGCCTGAAGGCAATTCCTCTCTGCCTTTGTCCGACTACCCATCAAGTCAGTTTATTACACTGTCCAACCAGTCACAGTGCTCGCTCCGCCTCCTCCTCTGGCTTTCATTGAGCAAAGTGGATCCAGATCTGACCCGGTGAAAAGGAATAGGTGCTCTTTGGCAAAGCTAATATAACAACAACCTTAAACCTGGCATTCAAAATGTAATTTAGTCTGCAGTGTAAGGGATACATCTAGAGTTGAAGGGTGTTTTTTCCCAAAATAGGTATTTACTTATCTTGTTTTCAAATGTTTGAATGAAGCAGCGATATGGCAGACAAGAGTGTTTAATGCCTCCACTGCATCAACATGTCAAACTCAAGAAAATATTTCCCTGATTACATCATCCACAGAATGCCTGTTTGGAGTTTTTAGCATATTGCATTTGGAAAGCGAAAGTGGTTATTTTCCTGTAACAGTTTGATTTCATGTGTGAGTGGTAGTTTGATTGAATGGGCAGTTCATCGTAGAGGGAGATCCCTGCTGTGATTCAGCAACAGTAGTTGAAATTTAATGGCTTAGGAGTTTAGGAACCACGAGTCCCAAACATAAATGATAGTTGGATTCTAACTAAAACCAGGCACCGGTTTTGCAAGAGCTGTTGAGCTGTGTGTGGGCCTGCTGGGTCAGTCAGTGTATCTTAACTGTCCACTGCTTGTGAACTGAAACATGTGTCTGAAAATGCTTAGTTGGTGAAGGAGGAACTGTTAGTATGAAAGTACATGTCTGCAATCCAGTTTGCCACACACATACAAACAAACATTTATATCGGAAATTTAAGCAAAAAAAGATTTTAAAAAAAGATGAATGAAGGTATTCGCATGCTAGCTTGCCATATCCCATGCCCTGTCTACCAGGGTTCAGTGATCCATAAACACCAGCGCCAGATCTACCCAGCAACACTGCGTACGGAAACACACACACGCACACACACTGACTCACACACTTCCTCTAACCTTACCCCATGAAACACGTGTTTCTATTGAACTTATCCAAATCAGACAGATGGAAAGTGAGTAGAAAAGAAAAGGAAATGAGACAGTGGGAGGGGAAAGGGGAATAATAGAAGTGTGGAGGATGAAAAGATGAATGGGAAGATGGGAAAGAAAGAACAGCAGGGGAGGATTGGCAGAAGAAAGACAAGAGAAGAAAAGGAAGGAGAAATGAATGAGGTTGAAGTTGAATGATGGACAAAAGAGGAGTCCAAAAAAACAGACAGATGTACATAGATTGAGTACAGAGCATTCTAAATTTAAAAAAGCTAAAATATATCTATATGATCTTTTGGGGATTTGAGTAGTAGGTGGACAAGGTGTTGATTGGGTGAGACAGTGTGAGAGGGGACAGTCCAGAAAAGGGAAGACAGCAGAAAGGAGGGCAGAAGTGTTTTTGTGCTGCTCATGAACATGAAGTAATGAGAATGGAATAAAATTGCTGCCGGCAACAGAACTGGTCAGGCGTTCATGCTACACACTCACACACACATGCTCATAGTCACGCAGACCGGCGCTATCCAGTGACTGACTCTGCAGGGGGGCCAGACGCAAGGGGAACCCCATGAGAGAGAGTGTGTGTCAGTGTGTGTGTGCTGGCTGCATTCTGAGGTCAGTGCATGAGGGAGAAGGTCACAATAACAAGCAAATCGGGGTGGAAAGTGGGACAGAAGGATAGGCAATCTGTATCACACTATAAATAGATGTTGCTGTGGAAAAAAAAAACTTGTTTTGGAGACATTTTTATAGATCCGCAAACAAACTAGAAAGGATGTAATTTTAAGTTCTACCATGCGGCAAAGCTCATTTGTAACAGAGCCATCATAAATCAATCAAATCACACTGCTGACAAGCTGTATCAGGGAAAGTACATTTAGGCTGATTTCAAAGAAAAGCGAAAAGGAAAGGACGAATAGATGGAAGAAAAGTCTACCAGCCAACCACAGACTCTCTGAGTCTGCTAAATGACTGAATTTGAATGTATCTTGGTGTAACAACCTAGTTTTGAACATTCCTAACCAAATTGAGAAATGTGGTTTAAAAAGTGTCAATATCAACAGCAGGAAATGCCTGATACAAACAACAAGTGACAATGTGAGAGACAATGTCTTTAAAGCATAAATGCACATTTTTATGCTCTTATGAGAATTACTGTAAATAAAAGCTAATTAGCAGCAAAAGAAGATGTTTGTACTTTTAAAGTGATGCATATCTGTTTTCTTAACAGACGAAAATTGGGGGTAAAAATTCTGATCTTGACAGGTTACCAACACAACTGTACTTGTAACTGTACATGCACACACATACTGTATGTTTAAATTCACCTTCTATGTCAGAAAACACACACACACACACACACACACACACACACACACACACACACACACACACACACACACTCTTTTAATGTACTACACTCACTTTCTCCTCATTTACTCATGCAAGCACGGGAGCACAATAGCAGACACCCAAACAGACTGGAGGGAAATGGGTTACCATAAGAGGCTTAGACAGTGTGAGTGTGTGTGTGTGTGTGTGTGTGTGTGTGTGTGTGTGTGTGTGTGTGTGTGTGTGCATGTGTCTGTCTGGGTGTTGGGTCATACATGGCTGGATGGACTGGAATAATAGTCCAGTTGCTTTGAACATATCCACTCTATAACCCATGTGTGTGTGTGTTTGCGTGTGTGTGTGGAAGTATTAATGAAGAGGGTATTACTGTAGTTCAGAAAAAAGAGCCCTACATTACCCCAGAAGACTGTGTGTGTGTGTGTGTGTGTGTGTGTGTGTGTGTGTGTGTGTGTGTGTGTGTGTGTGTGTGTGTGTGTGTGTGTGTGTGTGTGTGTGTGTGTGTGTGTGTGTGTGTGCGCGTGTGTGCGCGCGTGTGTGTGTGTGTGATAATTACTAAAGCTTCTCATAACTGTTAGACCATCCAACCATGATACTATAAACAGTGTCAGGCCAGTTCCTATTTTGGGTCATCCTACATGTCGTCTTCAGTATCATATCTTCCTTTTCCTCTGCTCTACCTTTTCTGAACTCTCGCTTCACTTTATTGCCCGCTGTATATTCATTCACGTTTATTGTCCTTATTGTAGTTTTCTCTTGTCTCTGTTGAATGCCCTGAACTCTGTGTAAATACTCAAAGACGAGTCATGTCTTTTGAGGAATTACATGCATGTTTGTGATTTCAATTCTAAGTTAAGAGATTACTATTTAACCTCTTGAAAAGACATGTGGGGGACAATTTGTAACAATTTTCTTTTTTTGTGAAGGGGATAAACCTGAATTGTGTGCATATCAATTGATTTGATACACAGATTTGTATTCATATCACTCTTGCACTAGGTTCAGCTTAAGTTGAGCTAAATTTCCTGCATTTTAAGTATTCAATATGAAGTCAGTTAATCTCACACAGTCAGACTTTTATCTGGCCAGGAAAGCTAAGAAAGCTAAATAAGGAATTCTTTAATTTGCCTCCTCTTAAACTTTACCTCGACGTGTCTGCACAGAATAATATTATTCTTGGTGTAATCCCAATATGGCCTTTCCTGAATACATTTTTTTATTTCAAGGTTTTTATTTAAAATGCATCTCTCAATGTACATTTTTCTTCTGTTTTTGTATCCCAGGATCAGACTGTTCCCGCAACTTCACCAGTCCCACGGGTCTCATCGAATCCCCAGGCTTCCCTGACAAATACCCCCACAACCTGGAGTGCTCCTTCATCATCATCGTGCCCCCCAGCATGGATGTCACCCTCACCTTCCTCACTTTTGACCTGGAGAATGACCCCCTTCCAGGAAGCGAGGGGGACTGCAAGTACGATTGGCTGGAAGTGTGGGACGGGCTTCCAGGAGGTGAGACAGTGATCAGATGGATCAGTGTTTTCTTCACCCCATAATGATCATCTGCAAATGACCATGTTGTTTTGATGAAAGCACTGATAATGATGATTCTAATGGAGGTGCAGAACAATCATTCTACCTCCTCATGAGTCAATACTCGGGCAAAGTTAAAATGTTGTGCATTCTGCCCTGCCTACATCATTATTGACTGAGGTGGAGTAGCAACTATTTTAGTAGCTCTGCGTTGGTAGATGAAAGCTGAGCTTACAGGCGGGATGTTGGCACACAGTGTGGAGAAACAACACAAGTTTTTCAAGGGGAAAATAAAAAAAGGAATAGCTGAGAGGAAGGAGAAAAGAGGGGAGGTGAGAGGAGGAACGGTAGAGGGTTAGGATATTTCTGTTCTAGCTGCTCAGGAGGACTGGAAAAGCTTAGAAGGACGAATCTAAGGCACAGAGAGCTTGGATCCAGTTTCAAGGGTTGGAAGAGGTAGAAAGCAAAAGAAGAGCAGTGGAAGGGCAGAGAGAAGTCCTCTGCTGTTGGGGAGACTGGAACAAAGGGAGGAGATGTTGGGATGAGTAAATGAAGCTCAGGAGACCTCTGGTCCGCCCTCAGGAAGGAGACTGGGAAGGATAGAGAAACAGGTTGATTTGGAAAGAGTTCAGCAAGAAGCACTGGAAACGGGAAGGGAGGGTCAACTTGGAAGTGTATATTTTCTGTAGTATTTCATACTCTTCTATTTGAGTTTCGGATAGGGTACTGGGTTATTTTTTTATTCCTACATCCTCAAATCTTGAGTATTAGGCAGATTGGAAGACATGGTGGTCAAAGTATTTCATACAGGTTCAATAAAGGATTGTGTGAACTTATTACAGTGTTTCAACAGCTTCATTTCCCCCTTCTCTTGACAGAACATTTGATTCTTTTGCTTGTGTTTGAATGTAAAGAGAATTTCCACAACTATAACTAAATCACCTACCCTCAAAACAAAGAAGGAAATGAAGATGACTAGACGTAAGATAAAACTGTGGTTTAAGGGAAAGAGAGGATGAAAGGGTTCTGCTGTGAGTGATGTGCAAAGACCACAAGAAAGATATCAGGATGAAAGGAAGGGAAGGAAGGTGAAATGAAGTGGGAGGAGGTTGAAAGGGAAGGAACTCTGCAGGATGAGCTTCATAGTTGAAGGACTTGGATTCTCCCTGTACAGGAGTGTGCAGTCTTAAGCAGGAAGGGAGGATGAAGGAAAAGACCTAAGGCAAAAACAATGACCATGTATGTTTCTTATAAGGTTAAAGGCTTTTGGCAAGAGGGAGGAGAGATTGAAAAGAGAGACCTGGCTTTAGAATCTGTTTATTCAAAGGAAGGGCAAAAGGAAACAGAGGATAAACAACCATAGAAAGTATTTCCAACTTAATTAAATTGAGAGGGAAAAAAAACTGTTTGCGAAGGAAAATAGTTAGAATTTGACTGTTAGTACATTTTTTCAATCCCGGGGTAGGGTTCATTTCTTCACATACCAATTTTTAAAGTGAAGAGGTTATGGCATTATGTGTTTGTATGTTTCCACATGTGTGTGCAAGGGTCAAATGTGCCTTTGTCTTTTCTTAAGAAAAAAGTTGCAACTAATTTATAAACATAAATTTTGCCATTTTTGCCTGTAAGCTAGAAATATTAAATCTTTCCTCTCCTCTCCTCTCCATCAAGTAAAGAGTTATCACTGTTATTTGCTCAAGAGCCCTATTTCAAACATCCACCCGTTCCAAAAGGAAAGAAAAAAATCAATAGCACAGATCGATTAGCAGCTATTTTCTCGTCTTCCTCCTCCTCCTCTTCTCCGGGCCTCCTCATGTGTGTGTCTGTTAGTGTGAGAGAGGAGTCACAGAAGAGCAGGATGAGTCTACTATCTGTGCTCCCAGCCCTTCACACAAACACACACACACACACACAAACTAACACACACACACACACACACACACACACCCTTGGGCTCTTAATCACACTCATCTGTTTGTGTTGACATGTACAAGTTGTGGAATCAGAGAAGAAGACAGTAGAAGAATCACTTAGATCCTTGGATTTACACACGCGCTGTGTATATATATATATATATATATAGAGTGGATAAATGGAGGAGAGAGAGGTGATGACATGAGAGGGTGGAGTGACGAGCAGCTGTCAGTGGAGGAGGGAATCAGAGATAATGGATGATTGGAAAAATGCAATGAAAATAACATTGGATACAGAGTAACAAATGTGAGGATTATGAGATAAAGAGATTTGTTAAAGAATGAAAACTCAGCGTAACCTCTTGATACCTGGATGAGTGAGATCCTTGACAGGTCGTGTGTAACTGACAATGTATAACATCGTGGGTCATACAGGTTGACAGCAGGATTTTAACAGACTGACGGCTAACGCAATACTTCTCCTCATATCAACAGTGGGCCCGCTGATTGGTCGATACTGTGGGACCAGGTTTCCTCCAGAGATCCAATCGTCTACTGGGATTCTCGCTCTGTCCTTCCACACTGACATGGCTGTGGCAAAAGACGGCTTCTCAGCTCGGTACAACATGACACACAAGGAAGTCAGTGAAAGTAAGTCAAAGCTTTTTTTTTTATTTAAACAAATTGGAGAATTTGCACGAATCTTGTGCTTAATCTCTTCCTCTCTTTACACCCTCTTGTAGCTTTCCACTGTAGTAATGCTTTTGGTCTGGAGTCGGGTAAGATCACAGACGACCAGATCACAGCCTCGTCAAGTTTCTACGATGAGCACTGGCTGCCCCGACAGGCCCGACTCAATTACAACGACAATGGATGGACGCCAAACAAAGACAGCAACAGGGAGTACATACAGGTATGAGTTTGTTGTTCTTAGCTTTAGTTCCAGAAATTAAACCCGAGGGAAATCAAAGTAGGATTCAATGGTTCCATTAACATGTCTATATCAGCGCTCTGAATTAATGTCGCTTGCAACTGCAGTCATGAATCCTAAATCACGGATTAAAGTCACACATAAGGCCAAACATTATATCAACCCTGTCCCTTAGAAATTCCCTTTACATACCACACATTTGCAATAGCAAAAATACTTCAATTGGCAAATGCATTGTGACCATATTTCATTTCTTTTTAGCTTTTATATATCCAAAGCAGCATTTCAATATCTGCTTGTAGAGCAGTTAGGACATTAGCAATTCCCTGTAAAGCTGGTGAAGCACGTGGCCATGGTTCAACTCTGAAAACATGCTCTACACATTACTACTGATTAACTTACTGTAAAACAGTGGAACCAATCCTCCCCTAACTTTGCCAAATTACTTTTGTTGGCTGTTTACATCCACAGTGTCAGGATGAAAACATTGTCTCTGACAGTACTGGACTTCATTTCACTACTTAACATCTTTTCCCTTTCCGTGCTCGTTCTTAAGGAAGTGTTATGCTCTGCCCTTAAAAACTGAAGAGATTTCAGGCAGTTATTACCTTATACTGCACAGTATTAGAAAATGACTATTTCACAGCAAGATAGCCAACACATGGTGCAAAATCAAAAACCTGTTTGAATTTATGATTTTTCATTTTTAATTTGATTTAGCGAAATCCCAATCCTGACAAAAAGATCTTTCACTTTCACAACTTTACCCCGCCTTAACTAAAAGCAGCCTGCATTCTGATTTTTATAGCATCACTTTTTTTGTGTTGACAAGTCACACATAATAACTCTACCACATCTATATTTGTGTTGTGGATATTATGTGTGTGTGTGTGGGGGGGAGGGAGAAAGTGAGTGAGTGAGAGCGAGCGAGTGGGAGGTGTAGTGATATCAAGGTTTAACAGCTACATGCTTGGGTAAGGCATTGTTTCCTGTATTCTATCGCAGTGCCAACTTTGTGCCATTCCTGTGCCGAAGCTGAGTTATGAGGCCTGTCTGGGTGAGAGGGGAAAGGCAGTGTGAGGTTCATACACAAGCTCAGCCAGAAATGGATCCAAACCGGCCCACGAGGCACTGAACAGAAAGACGCGCTCCGTAAACAACACACTATCTTGTTGGGTGTGAACATCTTGTGCAGTAGCATTGTGGAGAGTTCAGCTTTGTTCTGTACTGTTTGATAATGGTGTGCTTTGCACAGTACAGCAACAAAACTTTAGATTTTCTTCAGCTAATGTCAGATGTAATCTTCTGCATTTGTCCACTTCTAAGGGGAAGTTTTGAAAGCCAAAAGCTCATCGAAAGCAGATTACAAACTGCTTCATTTTCTGTTTCCCTGAAAAAATCTTGTCGACAATCATCCCACAAATTCAAATGGTATGATTTTACTTTCTTTCTTTCCATCCTTTTTCCAAGTCGGAGATTGGATAGCCTAAGATGTGCAGCTTCCATTAAATGATGACGCTTTTTCATTTAACGTTAAAGGATTCAGCGAGAGATAAGAACCAGGCAAACACCTCATCTATTATTTTTTTCAGGAACAAAGATTAAACCACAGACAGCCACAGCAGACAGATGTTGAATGGAAGCAGTAGTTTTGATTGTCTGCGCTCCACTGAGGCCAAAATGTGGGCCAGCAAACACAGGAAGGGACCGAGGCCAGGAGGTAGCATGAGGCCAAGGTCTCATCAGTCTCATCAGGCTTCCTTCCTGTCTCACCTCCACTGCAGCTGACAGCACTCTCTCGTGCTCTCTCTCCCGAACACTTTTAAAACGAGCTGACATTGAAGAATTTGCCCAATGTCCTTAAGTTAAACGACTCTCCATATTTGCTTGGAATTTTTTTTTTTGTCGTTCATCTTGGCCTTATCGTCTCATCAGCCAATGGAAAGATCCCTGATTTGGATGTCATCATTTATGAAACATCAGAGTTTTGGCGTAAAAAGTATCTTGACAGTCGGCTGCAAATGAAGCTTCTGCTCCCCTCATGTTGTCATGCAGCCTCTATCTGGTCCCCGGTGTTGCGGTCAGGTGTCTGCGTTCCACAGAGGCTCTCAGCTGTTCCCCTGCGTTAACACCTAGCAGAGAGCAAGGCCCTGTGTGTGTGTGTCTTTGTGTACATGTTTGACTGTGTTTATGTGGGTGTGTGTTTGCAAGCTCCTGTCTTGACAAGCAGCTGTCATAAATGCCAACATGCCTCTCCCTCTTGAATTTGCACCCGGTTCTCTTATAACTGAGTGTGTGTGGTGCGTTTTAATATGTGTGTATGAGTGTGTGCGATAGTATGTGTGACCCATGCGGCTCAGGCATGTGTGTTTTGTTGGCTCAAGAGCCACGTGTGTGGTTTAAATCTCTCTTCAAAGGGACTTTCTCTGATTTAGCTTATGTTGGTGTTTTCTATTCTTTTCTACTTCTGTTCTATTCTATTCATTTATTTTCAACTCAATCCCGTCGCGTGCCATTCCATTCTATTTGGTTCAGATAAATTATTTACAATTATTTTCTATTGTATTTTATTTATTCTTTTTACATACTTTATTAATCCCTGAGGAGAATTCTGGTTTACACTCTGTGATTGAGAGAAATGCTTCTAACACACTTAAACCCGAAATACACAAATACACAAGTACATCGGGTTTCAGTGCCTTCCTCAAGAGCACATTGGCCGTACTTAGGAAGTAACCCTCCGACTACCATACCAACTTCTATATTTTGGTCCGCACCAAGACTTGAACCAGCGACCCTAAGATTCCCTACCAAAGTCCCTTTTCTTCTCTTCTCTCCTCTCCTCTCCTCTCCTCTCCTCTCCTTCTCTTCTCTCTCTCCTCTCCTCTCCTTCTCTTCTCTCCTCTCCTCTCCTCTCCTCTCCTCTCCTCTCCTCTCCTCTCCTCTCCTTCTCTTCTCTTCTCTTCTCTTCTCTTCTCTTCTTTTTTTTTCTATTTCACACTATAACAGTCTTTTCTGTTCATTTCTCTTCTGATCTGATCTATTCTGTGTGTCTCTGCTCTGGTCCAGTGAGGTGTGCTGCAGATTGATGATGTGAGCTCTGGTGGCTCCGTTATTCTAACAACTCTGTGATTGATGAGAAGCCTTGGGAAGGCTCACTTAGCATCTCTCTCACTCCCTCTCTCACTCTTTCTCTTTCTCTTTCTCCCCCCCCCTCATTCATTTATTCTTCACCTCCTTCTCTCTCTATCTCTCTCTCTCTCAAATTCCTTTTCTCCTGGCCCTTCCTCTTCTCATTCATTCCTGTCCTCAGTTCCGGACTATCGATTAGTTGTCTTGCTGGATCTCTGTCTAGCCCTAAGCGTGCAGGGGCATGTGTGTGTGTGTGTGTGTGTGTGTGTGTGTGTGTGTGTGTTGGAACTAATCTAAAACACCTGTCTCTCTGACAGATAACAAGCGCAGCATTTTACCTCCCTCCGTGTTTTGTGCTATACCCCTGTGGGACACGCAGCGCACACACACACACACACACTCTGAAACACACACAACAAGTTCTGATTAATCTACAGGTTTCAACAGCTCCAATGGAGGAGAAAAAATGTTATAACTTACAATAAACCCTTTCTCATCTTGTGCTCTTTATTTGTCTGCAGCCTCTTTTTTGTCTGAGGCTCTTTTCTCTTCCATACAAAAGGTTATTTTTTAAAGTAGACGCCTGTATCTCCGATCGATATCCCAGTGTAGCAGAGAACATGTAAACTGAGGGCATAAAAATTGGGATATACTAATGTGTGCTGCGTTCTTCACAAGGAACAGTACAAATTACATCTATTAAACCATACTGAACAAATTGAATCACAGAGAATACCTTTTGTCTCTTTCTATTATGAACTTTTTCTGCTTGAGTTACTCATTTTGGGCACTGTTGAGCAAAACAAATGTGTATCTACTTGAGGGACTTTGGAATAAAGGAGTCCGTATTCTGCATCTGTTATGCACTGGGATCCATGTTTTCGATACACTACACAGCTAGCAGCATTCGGAACACGTAGCGTTGCATCCACAATCAGGATGGGAAGGTGATTATGGCTATTGTATGGGAGGAAATTAAAATGAGCCCCAGGTCATTACTATTGATCGGCCAGGAGGGAGGCAGGGGAGAGGGGAGAGAGGGGGTGGGGAGGAGAGATGAGAGGCAGAGGAAAGGAGAGCAGGAAAGGTGAGAGATGGATGTTGATAAGTTTCGGTGGATATTTGTGTGGTTATAGTTGAATGTAGTCAGTGTACTGTTTCAAAAGCTTCAGTTAGAGGGCATTTTTAAAGGTGTTTAACTTTGGTTTTTGGTTGCAAACAGAAGTGTGATTGAATTTAGCACATACAAATACAGGAGGTGTTTTTAGGACTTTAGAAGGCGTTTTCTCCTCTTTCTATTCTGTTATCATTACTTTGGATTTATATCTTAAATTCAGTTATTTTATTAAAAAACAAAACAATATTCAGTAATGCTTCCACTGTGTTGCTCTGTTCTTCTGCTTTGAGACACTTTTCAAAACCAGCTGATTGATCAGTTCCCGCTTGTTTAATGTAGCGTCTTTCATTTTAATGCGAATGATGTTTTATTCTATACTAATAGGTCTCTATGCTTCTATTACTTTGCCAACAGGTGGACCTACATACTCTAAAGGTGCTAACAGGCATAGCCACTCAAGGCGCCATTTCAAAGGAAACTCAGAAGGCTTACCATGTCACCACCTTCAAGCTGGAGGTCAGCACCAATGGAGAGGACTGGATGATCTACAGGCATGGCAAGAATCACAAGGTAGGCTCAGGCTCATGTACAAACACACACACACACACACACACACACACACACACACACTGGTGCCAGGGGGTTTGACCGCAAACTAATCAGGGCGACTGGAGAAAGTCTGGATGCTCTTAGGTGACACACATGCCTCGACATGCACACATATGGAAGAGGCTGAGAAAAGCATGAGACGGAATATATGCAGCAAGAGTTGACCACAAGCCCAGAATTCAACCGGTGTGTCTGCAATTACAGCCATTCCACCGCCGTTCAGTTGGCTTCGTTTAAAGGTTTACGACCGAGCCAGAAACAGCACACGTCTCCAAGCTAAAAAAAAAAAAAAAAGATACTTTACGTCACTGAATGCAGCTAGGCTCACACCGCGCAGTCTGCTTTTCACATCCCATCTGGATTCTGTTACTTACTGGTCAGATTTCTGCCTAGTGTCGACCTGCTTGGACAGGTTCTGTGAGCTGCTTCTCTCAGAGGCGTTACAGCGTGATGAATCATCAGTCAGTGGGCTGCAGACTGGGAGTGCTGGGCAGAAATGAAGCAGACAGTGCTGCGGGTCTTTAAAAAAACCGTTGCAACTGCAGTTAAAGTGCAGGAGCGTTCCAGTGGTTGTGGCTGCTTTTTCCATCACACTTGTGCTCCCACTGCTCTAGCGCTCACATGTGTTTTTCCTGCGGTCCAATGCCACGTCTAGCTGTGTGCTATAAACCATCATTCCTCCATTAACCTTATGCATGCACACACACTCACATGCATATGTGCAACTGCTTCTCGCCGTATGAGGGAAACAGGAGATCCAGTCTTACCATTTGAATGCGGTTCCTCTGTGGACTGCAGATCCCAGAAGGCTTATAGCTGTAGCTAACTCGCAGAGCAGTGATTGATGGATAAAACACAGGGAGATGTGGAACGAAATGTAGTGAGGGAGAAAAAAAAAGTACAAAATGATAAGAGGAAGACAAGAAAGTGGGTGTAAGCATGTTTTTCATCAGGTTTATAGCTATTAAGCTTGTTTGGGGATTATGTTCAAAATAAAAATATAAGTGGTCCCTAAATTGTTCCATTAACCTGTATTAAAAAATGACCCAATAAATCAGTTTACCTTTCAATCTGTAATGTCCGTCAATCAGCAATATTCTGCTGACTGCAGGGTATGAAACAACAATAGCCAGATTAATGATGATGTTTTAAGGTTAGCTGTTGGTGTCATCCCCCATAAGCCCCCTTGATTTCCCCATAACCCTGGAAAGCTGCCTCAGAGCTGAATGCTTAGGGAGACACAGAGAGGTGTGTGGGCATGCATGTGATTGTGAGTGTGTGGGTGTTTGAGGAGGAAGAGGAGGAGGGGTTTAGAATAAATCAGCGCCAGCTTCTTGTTGAACATCCTTCCCTTGTCTTCTAAACACACATGCATGCACAACATAACACCAAATGGTAAGGGTCTTTAGAGCATTTTGGCCCCCACGGCAGGTCAGACTGTGCAGCAATCTGATTTTTTTACTAAGCCTAGAGAGTTTAAAAAAGGTTACTAGAGTGATGGTAATTTTTGTATAAAGATCAGGAGATCATGCTAACCTTGAGATCAATGTCTGTCCTTCTAAGCTGATGTATCCCCAACTTGTATTCCCAACTATCTCTGTTTGTTTTTGGGATGTAAGTTGGCGTCTGTGTAAGAAAGATATATAAATAACGCAAAAGCAACAGCCAAGAAGATCTTTTGGCAGAGTGTTTTATAGCTTGGGTGTGTAAAATCCCATGTCTGCATTCAGAGGATAACTCGAGGAAATGGCTTTTATAATTGATAGCAGATCCTGGAGCGGTTGTAAGCATGTAATATTTTACTTTTTTTTATTTTTACTTCAATGCACAGGAAAGCTGTAAAGGAGCATTGATTTATTGATTTCATCCAATATAGAAGCCTTTCTATACCCAAGCAAGGGATACACAGAAGTGACCCAACTACCTTCTGTTGAACTTGATGAACCTACATCACACCATCCATTTGTCCATGAATCTCTTACCTGACATGTTCATGTACTCACCCCCTTCACTAGTTCTCTCAGAATCTCTTCACCCATCTCATCCTCCCTCCTTGTCCACACACTGCTCACATCTTCATCCACCTCACCCCTCCATTCTTGCTCTCTTTTCCATCTCTCCTCTCTTGCCTCCCTCAGCACTCCATCATCTGTTCTCCCTCCCTCCATATGTTCCTGAGAAAGTCATCAGGGTTTAGACAGGCGAGTTTATGCTGCCTGAACAAATGACTTTCAGCACTTGGCCACAGTGTTTTGGTGTGTGTGTGTCTGTCTGGGTGAATTATTAAATTAGTGTTTTATGAGCAAGAGGCATTAAAGGAGGACAAAAATGAATGGGAGCCACATGGATAAAAGAAAAACTAAAATATGAGCATAGCATACTTTCTGTTCTCTCTCTCACACACACACACACACACACACACACACACACACACACACACACACACACACACACACACACACACACACACACACACACACACACACACACACATACTTAACCACAACGGAGTTATGTTTTTTTGACAGACAATACGCACACAAATACATGTATGTGTGTAGAAAAGTGTGTGTTTTCAACCACTTTTTGTGCATGCTAGCTTATTTCTCACACCAGTTACTCTTATTAAAGCAGCCACTGTGCACACACACACACACACACACACACACACACACACACACACACACACACACACACACTTTAGTTTAAACATCTGTGAACCAGCCTGTAGAGGCGGAGCTAATGTCACACAGCATCATGATGATTTGTGTGATCTGTAATGCCTGTGATAGTGTCATTAAGGCCCACAGTGAGCCAGATGGAACATATGGAATACATGTCAACTTGCAGGAATGTTTTGGGGAGTAGGAGAAGTAATATTCATACAGCATTTGTTCCTGCGTTGTACTGACAGGCTCCCGAATGACAGGTACTGAATCAAGACATGCACCAGAGAATTATGGGAAGGAACCAACAGATGGGCAAAGTATAAGAAACAGGGACAGCGAATGGTACACTCGAAATCCTCACTGCAGAAGCTTGCTGAGCATCTTCTCTGTTGGAGAAGAAGTGGAAACTATTTTGTATTTTAAAATTTCATTTTTTCCTCTGGATGAGCTATTAAATATACACATTTGGCTGTACGCCTGTTTACCATGAGGTCACCCATTTGGTGAGAAAAGCAGCAATTTTCATTGACCTGGAGTTCAGAGATGAAGTTGCCTCAGTTTGTGTGTTCATCTGCAGGGGTCTTGGACCTTTTTGTCGGTAGAGATGCTTTTAAGCTCGATGTGGTACAACTACATTATCTAGCCCTCCTGACTCGCTGCCATTACTCAAGGCCTCAGCCAAGACCGAATCCTCCCATTCCCACTTCAATCTGTGGGAGAGAGGATGGATGAAGAGAGAGGCATAGAGGAGACTGCTGTGGGTGAAGGAAAGTTGAATAAGAGGGAGAGAAAGAAATACAGATAGAAAAACACAAGCAAAAGGTCAAGCAGTCAAGCATTGAAGTGATAGGCAGAGAAAAAGAGGAAGAGGGAGGAAGAGAGGTGGAAGCCAAACGGAGAAGAGTGAGGTTCATAGGGGAACAAGCGAGTGAAGGGAAGTAGGCCGAAGGAGAGGAAAGAAGTGTTCACAGGGGAAACACAGAGCAAAAAAAAAAAAAAAAGGAGGGATGGATGGATGAACGGAGACAAGGAGGAGAGGAGGAATAATGAGAATAGCAGACAGGGGTGTTGACCACGAATCCCTCTGGAAAGATCAGAGGTCCCAGCAACACAGCCTGGAAGAATGTCAAGAGAGGAGAATTAAATACATCGGCAGAGTGGTTAGAGGAGGGTGGGGTGAGGTGAGGTGAGGGAAAGAAGAGTTTGTGACAAATGAAAAAGGAAAAGTTGTGAGGAAAAAAAGGGACAAAGGATATTCGGGTTATATGTGTCATTTGGTTTGAGAGATTTGTGTAGAAGTACTGTCACACACACACACACACACACACACACACAACTGGATTCAGCTGTCAAACACAGGTTACTTCCCCGAAGTCTGTGTGTGTGTGTGTTTGTCCTTGTGTGATGAAATTAGAGGAGATGGGGGATGTTTTACTATTTTATAACTCTATACACACACGTACACACAAAGCACACACAGCACGGACATTTAAATAATTCAGCATGTCTGCGCTGGTCCTTACCGGCTGACTGACTGCCACCCTGCAGGGCGACACACAAACACACAGACACACACACACACACACACACACACACACACACACACCTGTTCTTTTCTTTCCCACGAGGTGAATCCATTCCTTGCCATGCCATTTTTCCTCTTCTGTAGTTACACGTTAAGCCTGGTTAGTCTCCTTTTGACAACAAACCTGAAGCTGATACACAATGTGTGTCCTTCTGCGCTGCACCACTATTGTTATTCTGCAGAGCAGGTGTGTGTGTAAATGAAGGCGAAAACAAGTATTCTCGTCGTGTCTGTCACCTGTGACCTCCACTGAGAGATGAAAGCACCATTTGAATATTGGAGACTTCTCTCGCTTGGCATTGTTCTCATAGCGTTGCTGCTAAATAATAGTTTATGTGTGTTTTGAGAATATTTTTTAACAATGAGATGTTTTCACCAGTGTGAGAAGACAAGGGAAGCTGACACCCGGAACAGATGCTGAACTTTACACCTCTGCATTGTTTCTCTCACACACAACCTGACCTGGGTTGCTGTTGTTGTCAATTAGCTGATTGCTGCAAGAAGCCTTTGAGAAAGAGTCTGTTAACACGGATTAAGGAGTTGAAGAGCTCAGAGATGCTACATATCATCTTTCATGGCCCCACTGTGGATTCTCATTGCAGAGTAAAAAGTCTCTTGAATATTCAGCAACAACAACCAAAGAAATGTTTTTTAAAGTCAGAAGAATCTCGTTTTTCACCTGCCTTTTATGATAGAAGAACTGCGTCAATTTATATTCCACCCTCAAACATAGGCAGAAAAATCTCAGAAAGTGGAAAGAGAGCAACCCTTAGCGTAGAGAGGTTAAATAATAATAATCCTTAAATACTCCCTCTGTAATGCCTTTCAAGAATGAAAAAAAAAAACCCTGCACGTATCCATCTTTAACTCTTGGAAATCACTCCAATAAGGGATGATAAGACCCAACAGTTTAAAGTTTTAAATAAAGATAGTATAGACTTATAAAATGTGCTTTCACCATGGGCATAAGGGCATTAAGAACATTTTTTAAATGTCTAATTTGGGCCAGCTTGGCACTGATTCTCAAAATGAAAAAGGCAGTTTTTAAATGTTTTCATTAAAATAATAAATGAGCTTTTGCGGTGAGCAAAGCATTAAATAACAGATGTCAGTTTCATGAAGCACTGTAAAAGAGCAGAAGTATCAAGAGTTCCTGCTCCATTTGCTAACCCTTTACAAAGCAAGAAAGATGGAGGCCACATTAGTTACCAAGGACCTGCGTGTAGAGACGAGCCTGTGAAATACCCAAACATACAATTAAACCTTGAAGGGCAAGGTAAGACTTCCATTCAAACACATGTGTACTCAACTAATCAAAGGCTCAAATAGTGTGCACGCTCTTATGTGCTCTTATAAGCACACACATTTGAGTGTATGTGTGTGTTTGCATCAGTGTGTATGTGTGTGTATGCAAGCATTCACTGAGGAAATGTTTCAGTGCTCACCAAGGGAAATCAGAAAAGACCCGCCAGCCCCCAACCCCTCAGAGTGAGACTTCATAATTACACTTTTACACACTGACACATCAACACACACACCAACACACACTTGTAATTACAGTCAGCTACCACATTCCCATTAAGTCTTTTGGGGCCTTTCGGCATTTTTCCATCATTTAACTGGTCACAGTTTGTGGAATTAAGGCCACTGTAAGGGCACGAGTTCACTAAGTCTGACTTTGTGTCGTACATCCATTAGGTCACGGGTTCATTTCCCAGCTGGCCTGGTATAGCCTGCTCCTGTTCCTGTCAGCCAGAAACCCCTTTCATCCATATTTTGTCACCCCTACTGTTTAATGGATTGGGAACAGGAAGACGTGATGAATTACACACACAGAGACCCACACACTCCGAAAACAAGCAAACATCTACACACCCAAGCGTACCCAAGCAAGTAATTGCAAGGCCTTTGGCTCTGTTGAATGAGGTTTTGCTGCTCTCCGTATTAAACACTGGATGCTGTGTTTTCAGCATTTAATGAAACATAATGAAGAAAGTTCAGCAGGAAAAACAGCCTTTGAGGTTCTTTAAATGAAACAACATGACAAGTTGTTTCTCAGATTCACAGCAGTATTTTATCATGGCAGTGAGAGGGGGGAGATAGAGATGTCAAACTGAAAGACAGAGAGGAGATTGAACATGATATGATAGGGAGAAAAGAGGAAGCCCAGCTGTGTTTTCCTGTGGTGAGCCCAACAGAGATGGTAGTCATAGACAGACAGAGAAAGACATGACACTCCGTCAGATAGACAGAGATATAAAGTCTCGGTGTCAAGAGACAGAAAGAGTGCTTCTGGCCATGTGCGCTTGCATTCAATTTCCTTTTTATCTGCGAGCGTTTTCAAAAGATCTGTGTGTGAGGAGTGCGTGTGCTTGGTGGGAAGTGTGGGAGCTGCTCTGAGGGCACTTTGTACAGCAGTTTGTGTTCGGTTGTTTGTGTGTTGCTGTGTGTGTGTGTGTGTGTGTGACAGTTGTGTCAGGAAGCGTATTTGTACAAATCATGTGTTTTCATGTTCATTGAGGGGCGACAGCGTGTGTTTTTCTTTGCTCTCTGTGCGTGAAGGATTAAACATGATGTTTTTACGATGGTGTGTGTGTGTGTGTGTGTGTTGAAGAGAGAGAGAGAGAGAGAGAGAGAGAGTGTGAGAGAGAGAGAGGGAGGGCTTGTGGTTAAGTCAAGAGGACGTGAGAAGAGGATGCTCTCCCACATACTTAAGCGATTGATTTATTACACACTGTATCCTCAGTCTCTGTGTGTGTGTGTGTGTGTGTGTGTGTGTGTGTGTGTAAGAAAACATTTGCACTTGTTTCCTCCTTTTGTGAAGAGAAACTTTTAAGTCAGTGTGTGCATTCAGTTAAAGAACAAAAAGATAAGTCAGTGGCCTTTCACACTTTTGCAGTCAAAACTGTCCAACAAGAACAACACAATATTGTTGCTTGGAAACCTGTTTAACTGTCTCTTTCATGTGCTGTTATAAACTGTTGACCATTTCCATATTGTTAAGGCCATGCAGGGCCTACTGTACCATAAATGAGCTCAATTCAAAGCTGAACAGGTGAACTTTGTGGTGGTGGTGTTATTGGAAAGTTGGCGAAATGTTCTTCTTATGGGAATGGGCTGTCTTAAAAAAAAAAAAACATCTTGGATCTATAAATGTACATAAAGTGTAAGGTAATCCATCATACAGTTTGAGACCTTTAAACTGGTGACTTAAGCCCCTTTTACATTGCAAGTTCAAGGCAGAACCGAAGCGCCTCTGTTCCACCTTTATTTTCCTTGCTGTCAGTGTAAATGTCACAGAGGTATAATGGTGAGGTGAAGTTGTTCTGCCACTGAGCTGACATCTGAGGTAGTAACAGCAGCGTAACAGGGGAGATATGGCGTTACTGTCATATGTCAGAGCCTGCAGACACACAGTGCTGTGTGTATGCATGTCTAAGTGCTTGAAGAAGAAAGTGGAACTGATGGTGGAGCTTCATAATGGTGTTGTTGCAAAACAAGTGAATGATCCTACCCTAATGTACTCAACTTTATTTATCTGATTCAAAAATATGAATAGTAATATCAGACCTTATCTGTCCTGTTGACCAAGAGAATCTGTGTCAATACTGCTTGTCATGAAATGTTCTTAAGAAGACTCTGATTCTGCATTTACCTTTAAAGACAGAAAATCCTTTCAGCTATTTGTCTCAGTTTCATAAACATCCATATGTTCCTCACTCTATAGGTGTTCCATGCCAATGCTGATGCCACAGAGGTGGTTCTGAATCGGATCCCACAGCCGGTCTTGGCCCGCTTCGTCCGAATCCGACCTCAGACGTGGAAGAACGGCATCGCTCTGCGATTCGAGCTTTACGGCTGTCAGATCACGGGTAAGAGAGATGAAACGCTTTCTCAGACTTTTTTTTCTGGCCTGTCCCCCTCATGGGACTCAGTCTTGTAAAAACACTATACTCTTATACCAATGATATATTGGCTTTTACAGGGTCAGAAGGTGGTTCGACGTATTAAAAATAACTGCCCTAAACAACATTTCCTGGAAAACAACCAGCAAATATGACAGGGTCCTCTTTTCATAATTTATATAACTCTAATGATTTATAATTCCTTTGTTTATCCATCCATCAATCCATCCAGTGTTTCTATTCATACTTCCCTCGCCTTGCTGTCATCTACCTCTCTTTCTTTCACATCCACGGAAAAAAACCCGCCCTCATGTGCACTCACACTCTTGCCCTCGCTCTTTCATATACATATCCTGCCTCTTTGTCTCCACACACACACACACACACACACACACACACACACACACACACACACACACACACAAATAGAAACACACTCAGTCCTAATAGAATAATACTAGTGTGATGTGTGGGTGATAACATCAGAGAGTAACAGGCTCTCAGCTTTCATCTGCAGCCCTGGCAAACAAACACGATTTCAACCAGCATAATCAGCTCAATACTATAAATAGATAAAACTTAATTAGACTGTCTCTGTTTGTGTGTGTGTTATAAAACTGGTGAAAGAGAGAGTGTTCAATCCATTTGTGTGTGTGTGTGTGTGTGTGTGTGTGTGTGTGTGTGTGTGTGTGTGTGTGTGTGTGTGTGTGTGTGTGTGTGTGTGTGTGTGTGTGTGTGTGTGTGTGTGTGTGTGTGTGTGTGTGTGTGTGTTGTGTGTGTGTCCCAGCTCCACTGTATCATTATTAGGTTAGGGCCTCTCTCTGCAGCCATCGTAGTGGCCATTGAGAGGGACAGATATGCTCTTATCTAGGAGGGCTATTTCAGCACCCACACAAATCACAATCACCCCATAACAATATGATACCACTCCTGTGTGTTTCTGTGTATGTGTGTGTAAAATAAGGAGAGACTGAGCAGGCAAAAGAAACAGGGATGTGTCATATATCAGGTATCTTGTTCTTGTATACCGATTGGGCTTCTTTTTTTTTTTTTACCCTATTCTAACACCTGAAATTGCATTATATATCACCCTTCCTCTCACACTATACTTCGACCAGTGAGACCCAATTCAACACATCCTTTGGCCATTTCTTTTTTCCTCGTGAATCGCCCATCTCTGCTGCCTCATAATGCCTGCAATCCATCACCAAACAGAGGAAAACACTGACTTTATATGCCAAATCTTGACGGCTAATGTTTTGTTGATGGACAGATTTTGTGACTTTAGAGGTTTTCTAAGGGGGAAAAAACACTGCAGAGGAAACTTTATAACCAAACAAAGTAGCTAATAGCCATGCGGTATCTTTTCTTATTCTTTTCCCTCCCCTGCACATAGACATATTGACAAGCACACACCCGCACACACTGCCAGGGGGAATGTGATAATGCCCTACACAGGCCTATAAAGGCAGACATAAAGCAGTCAGTCAGTGACATGTCATTAACTTAAATCACACTTTTATGTCTCTCCCTCTACTTTTTTCTCTCTTTCTACCTATTCTTCTTCATTGTCGCTGTGTTTTTCCTTCCTTCCTTACTGCTCGTTCCTCTGTCCTTCTGCTGCCTTTGCTGACAGCTTCCATTCCCACTTTTCTCCTGCTGTCGTTCGCCCCCCCCCCCCCCCCACCAACCCCCCTTCCCCCCACCACCCTTTTGCCTTGCCTTAAATCTTCTCCGTCCCTGCCTCGTTCAACTCTTCGTTCCTCTATCCGTCTTTCTCTCCTTCCTTAATCTCATTTTATTTCAGCCCTGCAGCACCTATCAATCACTTATTTTTAGCACCTTTATGGTTTTTCTCACCAGGCTCATGCGGTGTGCATGATTTACAAAAACCGCACTCGTGTGTATGCATGTGCATGAATTCTGGCGAGGTAGAGCCTCAATGGTGTACTTTACAGCTTTTTTGAGATCCCGTTATCAGTAAAAGCACAGTGGGAGTGTGTGTGCGCTCATGTGTGGGCTAGACATCAGAGCGTGTGCGAGTAGAAGTGTGTTTAAGCCTTCCAGACCTCGATTATCCAACTTTGTGCTGGTGTGCATGTGTGTTAGTTCTCATATGTGTATTTCTTTTTTAATATATGTGTGTGTGTGTGTGTTGGAGTATGAGAGAGCTTTAAGGACTCGCATGCTGGTGTGTGATAGGTATTTCTGCTGCTGTCTTCTCCAGAGATGCTATTCTAATCGACTCCCAGAGCACCTCTGTGTTAAAAAAATAAAATAAAGCAGCTTAAACAGAAAGATGCAAAAATAACAAACTTAGAATAAACAATGCAATGATTCACATTTTCTTCTTGCTAATCAGTTTTCATGTCTATTAGAAAGCTTTAGGGAGCTTTCTTGGCCCCGCTCAGGCTGCTGTTGTTTATTATTTACCGAAGTGAGGCGCGGTTGCAAAACGTCACGGCATTAAACATTCATCTCCGCGCGGACCCCAAAGAATGTCACCATCAATCACCGTCACCCTTCACTGTCAATCCGCTCTCCCTCTCTCCTTTCAACACGATCTCTCTTTAGCTTTCTCACCCTTTTCTACTCACTTGCTCTCTCTCTCTTTAGTCCATCTTTGTGTCTGACCTTTTGTCTATCTCTCCTCCCTCTCCTTTCACTCCCCTTCCTCACCTTCTTCCTTTCCTCCCTCTTCCCTCCAATGTCTCCCTCACACACTCTTTCTGTCTTTCACCACATCATTTTCCTTCCCAACAAAAATGGTCACCATGTTTCGTTGCCCTTGTTTTTCATCATTATTTATCGCAGTAACATGATCTGATGCGTGTTAGACTAAAACACATTTGTCAGTATTATCAGCAGTTCCTCTTTGATCTGCAACATGCTTTCATTTAGTTCCTGCACGCGGGAGTTTGCCGGCTCAATTCCCCATGAAGAATCCCCCTTTGGTAGCTCGCTCGGTTAAAGTTATGCATCAACTTTGCAGCAGCAGGAAGGGAAAATAATGACAAGGGCTGATGGAAAGCAACAGAGAGCGAAACACCAGTCGTTGTTTTTAACTATTCATGTCACAATTAAGAGTTTCGCTCCCAGATGAGAACAAACGGTGACACCAAATTAATCCTGACCTTAAAGTCACATTCACTCATGAGGTGTTTCTGCATAACATCATTTAGGAAGAACGAATTCAGAGCAAAGGGAAGGAGAATATGATTTTATTTTGACCTTGCATGTAGCAAACATCCAAGGGCTTTTAAAGCATTATATTAATCTTTTGATAGCAACTCAGTATTTAAAATAAGTACTAACCTGGAAATCCTCGTATTTCTTTTATACTTATACTTGTCAGTCTGTCAGTGTTTTTTTCTGTATTGTAAGTAGCATTGCAGTTGCATTCAGAGACTTTTGCAGACAGTATTTGTTTGTTTCTTTACTGCTGTAACCAAAGCTCCAACATCAACCTTTTATTGCAAGGAAAGTCAAATTCTTCCTTTTTTACATCGTTTAAGATTTCATGTTGTTTGTTTATTTGGTTGATTTTCAGACAGCTTAAAGATATAAAGTCTTTGGCAGACTGTCAAGTCTTGGACGTTGTTTTCAACATTTAGAGTGAGCAGAGGAGGAGTTTTCATATTCTACTTTGACCTACAAAAAAAGCTAAAGGCATCAACAGTCCTGTTGCGAAACAGCAAAATGAACATAAGTCAACTTTACTGCAACTTTCACCTCAGAAAATAATGCAAAACTAATTTTGTCTAAAAAAAAAAAAAAAAAACGTTCAGCACTTATAGCAAATACTGTAACTTATTCGTCTTTGTGCTTCCTGTTTAGACGCTCCCTGCTCAGAGCTGCAGGGCATGCTGTCCGGGCTGCTACCAGATTCCCAGATCTCTGCGTCGTCCATGAGAGACATCCACGGCTCCACAGGGGCAGCCAGGCTAGTGGCCAGTCGCTCAGGCTGGTTTCCAAACCCGACACAACCCATTGCTGGAGAAGAATGGTTACAGGTACGTCACCTTATCCTCCTATAATGAATAAATCTGTTTGAAGCAGAACTGATTCTCCACCACAAATGAATCTGTATGTGGGAATGAGAAGCTACAGTTGGGAGTAATTGTATTGCTTTGTCTTGCATCAAGAAGTAAATATTGCGAGTTGTAGCCTCATTATATCTTGTTCTGTGTCTTTTTTCGAGGATAGAAACAAACATTGTGTAACATCTAGCCATCGTCAACTGTTCTGCTTTCATGATTTCAATGATTCTGCACTTTTTTAGGGGGAAAGTCATACAATACAATACATCATCCCATGAAAACTAAGACACATACATTATCCAAAAACAGTAAGCGGCTGGAATGACAAAGAAAGAAACGAGCCAGATGTTGTAAATCATAAGACATTGGAACATTAAAATATTAAATAAATGTTTTCCAAAGATCACAAAGCATCCAACAAACTGCCAATAAAACAAGGTGATCAGCAAAACCTGGCTCATGAAAATAAATAATTAAAAGATGAATCTAGCTCTGATGCCAATTATTTCTTTAACAAATAACAAGAACTGATCATCTCTGTAAGTCAGATTTGCCTGACTACGAAGGAGAGGTAGACAGTGGTTGGCTCCTATTATTTATAGTGGGTGGGCTGATTTTTTTTTGTCTGTGTTGCAGGTGGACCTCGGGGTGCCCAAGATGGTGCGTGGCATTATTACCCAGGGTGCAAGAGGGCTTGAGGGGAGCACCAGCGCTGAGAACAGAGCATTTGTCAGGAAGTACAAACTGGCACACAGCTTGACGGGCAAAGACTGGACGCACATCACTGACAGCAAGACTGGGTTTGCAAAGGTAAAAGAGGGACACACACACACACACACACACACACACACACACACACACACACACACACACACACACACATTATCTCTGCCTGCCTGACAGAAACATATGTACTCTCCTCTTTCTAATTGTCACTGTCAGCTCTCCCTCATTTGTAGTTTATTTATAGCTGTCTTTCAACTCAGCCCCTCTACACTCTCCCTCTCTTTCTTCCCCTCTCTGTGTCTCTCTTTCTCTCAGTCATTTTTAGGAAAAAAAAAAAAAACCTTTTTATTACCGCCTCAGCTCTGATAATAATTCAATTTAATCACCTCACTCCTCATTCCTCCTGCTTCTGTCTCCCTCTCTTGGTCCGCTTCACTCTCACTCACTTCTTTCCTCTGTCTCATCCTCTTGTTCACTCATCCTGTATTTGTCTCTCATGGGTGTTAATTAAAAATGTCTTTTCAGCATCACTACTCAACACGGCTGGCAGTGTAACGCACAGAGAGACGGAGCACTTTAAACTCTGTTCTCCTCTCGGAGACTGTGTCTTAAAGCGCTTTAATAGCACTACTGAGCGTGCAGCTTTTTCTCCTGGTGCTAAAATCCTGTTCTCTCTCATCTGCCTGTCTTGCTAAATGAGCATCCTGGGAAATTCATATTATGTTTTCCTTTTTTCATAAATCCCCCCCCAAAAAAAAACAAAGCAAAACAAAAAAACGGGGAAGACAGAAGATAAAATGTAATTAATGAAACCAATATTACAACTTCCACAGTCCATATTTTGCGAGAAGTCTAGTCACTTTGCAGCTTGTAATAAATCTTGTGTTTTTCGCCAGCGGCTGCTGCAAACCTCCTCAGAAAAATGACTTGAAAATCAAAGGAAAAACAGTCCCTGTTGTTTATTTATATGACACGTGTCATACTGTGCATGAAAACAATGCTGATTAGAAGTGTTATATGTCTTTGGGAAGACAGGCTCACAATTTTGCCATTGTTTTTCAATTAGCCGTGAATGGTGGAGTGGTGAAATGACACATTTTAACTTCCTCTGCAGCGTTCTTCATTGTCTTAAGATACTCATCCTCAATGCCGTCAGTGCTCGCACTCTGACAGATTTCAGATTTGTCAAACAAACATGGAGTAAAACCTATCACTCATCGTTTTGTATCCCAGACAGCTTTGGCTTTCAGACAAACTCTGGGGAAGCAATGATACTTCTAACATGTTTTCCTTTTGAAGCAGCGCTGCAGGATCACACTGTGCTGAGATACAGTCTTATAGGAAGTCGGATCAGTGGGAATGAAGACAGAAGTTTGCCATATTTTCCTGTTGAGCGTACACAGTGAACTTAGGGATGTCAAAATTGGCAGGAGAAAAAACTCCTTGATACTTGTGGGGGGGAAATGTTTTATCCTTTTTTTTTAACTTGCAGTAAAATGAGAAAAAGGAAACACAGTCATCACAGTAATTACTTTATTTTGTGTGTGCCTCTCTTTGTTTAGATTTTCGAGGGGAACAGCCACTATGACACTCCAGAGGTGAGGAGGTTTGATGAGATAGTGGCCCAGTACATCCGAGTGTTTCCGGAGCGGTGGTCTCCCGCTGGGATCGGCATGAGGATGGAGGTGCTCGGCTGTGACCTGCCTGGTAAGAACACATGTTGTGCTTGCTTAAGATTAATACCGAGGCTACACATCACAGACAACACACAATAACATGATCAGAGATGGACTAACAGCTTTGAGCAAACGCAAAGCAAATGATAAATACATAAACACACTGATTCCCTATGCTAGTACTCTCCTTAGATAATGACCTGCACACAAAATAGCACCCATGGAAAAAAGTGCCATTAAGATAAATTATCCATAATAGTTGATCAAGAGCAATCTCTTCCTGATCATACATATTTCATCAGAACTATTATGATGCTTCTGCATGCATGTATATTACATGATCCATAAATATAATTACAAACCAAACTGTGACTTTAATGTGTTGTGTGAATCACACCATTCATCTCTTTGACATCTGCAATTAGTGGGCTGATGGTCGTTGGATGTGTGTTTATGAGCATTAAGAATGTGTGCGTGCTTTCTTTTATATTCTCGTGTGGCATTGTGCGTGGCTTAATGTGTATGGTAGCCTATATGTATATATATATGTGTGTGTGCTTATAGAGCATATATATTCACTTCCATGCGTTCTGCACAGTGGTTGAAGTTAATCATCTTGCTCTATAGGAGATTTTGCCTCATGTCTGGACGGGGATTAACATGTCTAGGTCATGGGACTTTTACTAATAGTGGCCAGCTGTGTAGTAGCACTTTATTGTGTTCACAGTCTATTATGTTAATAACATGTTGCTGTGTGTGTGTAGCCAAGGATTAGGTGCAATACAACGCCTGCTGCACTCAGTTGTTTTCTTTTTCTTGAACAATCTGTGATCTCTTTCTGCTTTTTCCACCGTCAATGTTTGATGTTTTTGTGTTCGCAAATATTCTTGTAAACGGTTGTTCATAGAGAGTGATGATGGAGTCAGACCATTAGTTTTATTTGTCATGATTGAGCTGTGAGAGTATGATTTGTAACAATACATTACTGTTATAGGGAGCTTGTTAAGTGTGGCGAGCAAATTATTCTCAGCTGGACATTTACTCCGAAAATAAGGCAAGCCATTGTACCAATCCACCAACATATATAACTTAATGTTGAAACATATATTCCACATATAGAGTCAGGTGAATAGTGTGCTTTGTTCTGTTTAAATTGAATCAGAGCTCAGATTGTCTTAATGATGGTTCACATAAAACAGAGCAGTAACTCTACTGTATTTGAATACTTTCATGACCACACATTTGTACTTGCGGATGACCTGTTCTCAGTGATGCAGCTATAAACACACGATCTTCCCTCCTTGCCTTTCCTCTTCTCTCCTCTCTGCTTGCACCATCAGATGTTATGGCTTCAGTCAGGTTATGACATGTGAGAGGTGAAGACAAGAACAGGAAATGACACAAACCGGTTCCCAGTGGACATAAAGTGGACTGCTTTCTGTATTTCTGAACTTGTGTGTGTGTGTGTGTGTGTGTGTGTGTGTGTGTGAGAGAGAGAGAAATAGAGAAAGATGGAGAGAGAGCCCAAGGGGAACAGTATATCCTAGATGTGTCAGGACCAGCTGAGAGGATGGCAATGATTGGGGGGGGGGAGGAACAGGACATCCTCGACTGTTAACGTAAGTGTTAACAGGTTACCATGACTACATCAAAAATAGAGTTCTGGCATAAAACGGATGAAGCGCCATCGTTTCTGATTTACATCGACAGTTCACCTCAGGAAAAGATTTTGTGGTTGTAGTTTGAATACCTCTTTTGACAACAAGGAGGATTATCTGCTATAATACAGCTCATACAGGTAAAGCACTAAGCAGAAACAAAAATTGTAAATTGGAGCTTTCAGTAACATATTTCATTCTTCATAAATTAGTAGGAAATTGTGGTATTACTTTGATTGATTTTTAGGACACAGGACCAATTTATGAAATGCAATTACTCTGACTCGAATCTCATTTTGAGTTTGTAAACTTTGTGGTTTCAAATGGAGCTCTTTGCAACCATCCCTCCCCCTTTTCTCCTCTTTAAATCTGAGTAAACTGACTGTAAACAGAGTGTAAAAGGTGTTGGTAGGAAAACCTGTAGGCACATCAAAGGTATCAACAAACCCTTGGTATGATTAGATATAGATAGATATAGGGCCTTTACTCAAATGAGGATGTTGTTTCCACATGCTGAATATCATGATCAGTAGCAAACCGATTTCTCCCTAATGGAGACAGACTGTTTGATTATGGTGACTGCAACCTGTGTGATCGCGGCAATTGTTTCATTCTGTCCAGACGCGTGGCTTGTGATGGCTCATCATGACATCATGCGCATCGTAACTGCAGCCGTGATCTCCATGATCACAGCAGCGATCAACCTCCTGGCTATTGCAGGTTCAGTGATCGTCTGCAGGTCTGGCCGCCTGTGTCTGCATGCCAGATGTTTGCCTTCTGGATGTAATCCTTGCATTAGACATGATAACAGTTCATTTCCACTTAACATGAGCACCACGGCAACTGCTCCTGCTAGCAGGCTGAGCACCGCACACAACCAAGTCGAGTAAGTTGACTCTGTATGTTAGGGGCTTAGAGCGACTCCAGTTTTCACTTTGCTTGTTTTTTTTGTTTTTTTTAATTGTCTCCGAGCAAAGTGACGTTAGGATAACTCTGAGCTGGAAAACACATGATCTCACCAGTCATGCAGTCAGTTTCGCCTGTGCAACAAATGAAACGATAAAACAGAAAAGCACATTTGACTGAAGATAAAATAGACTTTGTTTTCCTACTCTCTGGTGTTTTGTGTGCGTTTGTGTGCTTGTAAGTGTTGAGTCGTAACGGGAGATAAAATATTCAACAGAGTGCATCAGCTTCAGTCCACTGAACACAGCTGTTTACACATAAGTCACAAGCATACAGAGAGGCACACACTCAACTCTAGTGGACCTCTTCTATAAATACACACACACACACACACACACACACATGCATGCACACACACACACACACAGTGCTGAAGAAAGGAAGTAAGATATACAAGAAGACGCCCAACAGAATCTTTTCATTTCCGTTAAGATGACCTCCGATGAAGCTGTCTTCCTTCCTTCATCTAATACTTTTCCAATTTTCATCGGAAAGCAGCATTCAACATGGTTCATTTGTTTTTGAAGCAAGCATGACATCCTCTACTTTTTTTTTTTTTTTTTTAAGGTCCCATATTATGCTTTTTCTGGTTTTATATGCCCTTTAGTGTGTTTTCCAAGTGTCCTGTGCATGTTTAGGCACATCTATGTGCAAAAATTCAAAGTCCGTGGAAACGCGGCTTCTCCTACCTCCTCCTGTTAGCTGTAGCATTAGCCGCATGTAACGCTCAGTTCTAGCCCCCCTCGATAAAAATTTGTCAGTGCGGCGTCATTGTCTGTGTGAGATCACTGATCTAAGTCCATTGGCTCGTTGTGGCAAGCCCTGCGGCTCATGTTAACATTTCCGAGAAGTGTGCTGAGCAACTGACCAATAACGACAGAGCGGATCGGCAGACCAATCAGAGCAGACTTGGCCCACGTGGGGTCTAACAGTGTGGGCTCAACAGAGTGCAGCTGACGGACTCAGAGCGTAGAGGGAGCAAGGAGGAGCAGTACATGAAAACAGAGACTTTTTTCAGACTTTAGTTATTGTGAACGTACAAAAGTAGGTACATAGATTAAATATACGAACCCCAAAAAGGGCATAACATGGGCTCTTTAAGATTTGAAATTGTAGAAGTTTCATCTCTTCCAAATGCCTCAGGTTGCAGTCCATCCATACCTCCTCCTGTCTCAGCTCGGCTCAGGAAGTGAAGGAGTGAATTGATGAATAAATAAAAGGAGACATCAGTAGTGTACGGAAATCACATGGTCATTGACAAACTCACAAGACGGCCTTTCTATTATTCAGTAGTTTGCTCCAGACCTCGGTTCCCTGCTGACGTAAATAACAAATCAAGAGCCCTTTGATGCATGTCAGGAAATAATCCACAAGAATGAATGTAAATTCATGATTAGCATGCTGAATGATAGCTATTTGTAGGTATCATGCTCTTCTTTACATTCTAGTGTATTCATTGTTCAAAAGAGTCAAAAACAAATATGACACAATGTCAATTAAAACATCTGAACATCAGCTTTCACAAACAACTGTGTTTCCATCACTGTGCCTGTATTGTTTTCACATTCTACACTGAAGCGCACTGACCTGCCTTCAGGGCTGTGAAACAATTTCCTCACATGGCAGAAACAATCTCAGAACCCAATTACGATGAAGAAATCCCCAAATTATAGATACTGGGTTCTTAGGGGGCACACAATCAGGTAGTTTAGTATCTCATTATTGCGCCAAACCCTCTGATGCAAAAACTGAAAGCCAGAATATTATCACAGGACTCATTTTTGATCATTCACGCTAGCTACCGTGGCAACACGTAATTTAGGTTGTGTAACCCGGACTATCTGATGTGAAGTGAGAGCTGCCAAGCTGACAGTTTTGTTCATTTTTAAATGACTAAGCTATCAGAACATCTGCTACGCTCTCATCTCTTTCACTCCACACCTAGCTGTTGGCAGGCGGGCAGGCACATATGAATACACAGACACAAACACACACACACACACATATGCACCACCTGTTTGGCACAAAGACAAAGGCTTGTTCTTAGTTGTGTAAATAAATGCTAAGGTTCTCATCTGCATTGGAAAGTGCAGAGTTATGGGGTGGGGAAGGCATTTTGGGAAAATAACAGGGAGACAATGACAGATGTAAACACAGACAGAAAGCGGCTTTGTGTCCGGTGTCTCAGAGGGGCTAATACAGCTACTTCTTCTTTCATCTGCCGCTGTTGCTGCTCTTTATATCCTGGATCTTAACATGTCATGAAATATAAGATGATGCCATCCAGAATGTGACAGAAATTATGCCCCTTACTTCTAAATGATTAGCCAAGCAGAGAGACCATTATTTATGGCTGATGGCAAGATTCTGTTGCTACTGACTCAAATATTTGGCATTAGAAAAGTTC